GATAACCAGAATTCACATTTAGATGGCTATGCATACAACTTTTTATCCTTTAATATCTGCAACACAGTCCTCAGATGCTTCGTATGCTCCTCTTCAGTTTTAGAATAAATTAAGATATCATCAATGAACACAATTACAAACTGGTCCAGATACAGTTTAAAAATGCGATTCATATAGTCCATGAACACCGTAGGGGCATTAGTAAGCCCAAAAGGAATCACCTGATACTCGTAGTGCCCGTATCTAGAATGAAATGCCGTTTTAGGCACATCCTCTTGCTTAATCCGGATCTGGTGGTATCCGGACCGGAGATCTATCTTAGAAAATACACATGCACCCCTCAACTGATCCAGTAAATCATCAATACGCGGCAATGGGTACCTGTTCTTAACCGTAACCTTATTCAACTACCGGTAGTCAGTACACAATCTCATGCTTCCATCCTTCTTTTTCACAAATATAACCAGTGCTCCCCACGAAGACACACTCGGTCTATAAAATCCTTTGCAGATAACTCTTCAATATGTTTCTTCAACTCAGCCAACTCCAGCGGCGACATCCGGTATGGAGCCAAGGAGATAGGCCCCACACCAGGTAACAATTCAATAGAGAACTCAATCCCACTCTCAGGTGGGAATTCCGGTATCTCATCAGGAAACACATCCACAAACTCATTAACCATCGGAATACTAGAAATTTCTATCTCCTTATCACCCACCAATCCACCCAAGAAAACATAACCCAGATCACCAGCCTTCAAGGCTTTAATTGTCTGAAACATAGACAAAAAGGAAGACGGACTAACCGAGGGCTTCTCGTGAGATAATATCAACCTCTTGCTGCAGCAATCAATCATTGCGCAGTTTTGAGACAACCAATCCATACCCAATATCAAATTCACAGAGGCCAGGGGCAAGATAATCAAATCAATAGTGTAACCCCTGCCTTCGTAGATAAACCCAACCTCTTTACAAATAAAGGAGGAATCACTAACCTCTCTTGTAGCAGTAGTAATACGCATATGGGAAATCATCCGTGATACTCTTAACCCCAACCCCTTAGCAACATATTCCGCCACGAACGAATGTGTCGCTCCCGAATCAAATAAAACAGACAAATCAATATTAGAGATAAAAATTGTATCTTTAACCAGATTAGGTGCCTTCTCCGTCTGCTGCGCATTAGTAATATAAACAAGTCCAACCGTAGGAGCAGATGGCAAGGCCTGCAGATTCGCAGCCTGCCCAGTATTACTATAACACTCTATAGCAAAATGCCCAACCTTGCCACACTTGAAACAAGAATTCAGAGCCGCAGTACAAGGACCCCGATGATACCTCTTACA